ATAGTGATCATTTAATTGTATAACTAGATGCTTAGAAATAAGCTTATTTAATAGTGGCTGAAGTAATTGATATGATTCATTATCAAGATTAATATATTTCATAGTATATGGAGAGCAAAACTTATTATTTCCTTTTTTAACATAGAAATATAAGTCATTTTCACCAACTACAGGTTTTACTAAATAAAGTAAAACACACAGTCGTCCCTGATTTAAACGTCGTTTTACATCTGCAGGTTGTTTAAATGATAATGCTTGATGTTCTATAATACGTGCATTCCAATAGGTTACTTGACTAGCTTCAAATATAAATTGTGAAGAATTTTCCTGAATAATATTATCTCATATTAGTCTAATCCCATCTAATCTTTCAATGAAGTTATTGATTGGTTGGGTGCCTACACGTCTGCCTTCGATTGATTTGTTCATTCGTTTTGTAAAATTATTTGTAGTCATAGGTTTTACACCTGGGCGATCATTTACAGAAAGCAACCGACCACCATTGATAAAACAATCAATCCATTCTTCAGATAACTAATTAGCAAATATATCATTGCACAAACATTCTTTAGTAATTTCTGGAAGTGGTAGAGTTCTAATAAATAATTCATAAGCATGACCAAGCTCTATAGCTTCCTCTTTACTTCTGCTTCTTCTACAACCTTAAATGCAATAGCAATTGGATATCAATAATGATCAGCAATTCTTAAATCTTTAAGATGTTCTCCAAGTGTTTGCATAATATGAAACCAACATAAAATTAATCTATGAAGAATGGGCTAAAGCCCTGTTTTGTTGGACGGTGTTTATCAATCATTGTATATGGGCGCCACTCTTGTGCACAATGACGAATTTTCATAAATCCTTTACCATTTGTCAGTTCTATATACTGATACTCATGTGTACAATCAGTACTATTACAAGAAATATTTTGTTTTACTGCTTCTACAGCAAGTCTAATTGTATGATTATTTTCTTTATTTGACACTCCGAATGCAATTGATGTCCCATACCCTGCACAGTCTTCAACAACAAGAGACAATACTGGTGCACTATCACTATTCAAGTCATATTTTCTGTCAACTCCAAAGAAAAATGATCCAAAATCACGTGCTTGCTAAAGCCACAAGTCATCGCTCATAGTAAGTTGATAATAACGTTCTGAACTATCTTCATTCACATTAATATCAGGCTGTTGATAATACAAAATAACACCCTTTTCTTTTAATACACCAGTTACTAACTCGTGCACTATTGTCCATGGTTCTGTATTTTTTCTTATACGTAAGTCATCTCTCTCAAGAAGTTGGCGAAGTTTGACATCATCACATATGGACCTTTGATTATTATGTAACTTTTGAAGTTTATTTGGTGAAACACTATTATGAGGTGCAAGAAGCTTCATTTTAACTTCTTTGGTTGTGTTTTTGTTAGCTCAACGATTTAAAATTGCCAAATCACGTGCCTCCCAACTTAGATTAATTCTAGATATTGCTCATTCATGTATAATATTTTGTGGAACATGATTACCACTAATAATCATATGCATAGATAAGTCTGTATCTACTTCAGAGAGCATAACTTCAGTAGTTATTCGTATGCTACATTTATGCATATCAAGAGGATTCTTGAGGTTGTAATTAGTGTAATGATTGCATGTTTCGATACATGATCCAATTCCACCGCAAAGCCTTTGACAACCACTTTCACCAGAACAAAACCAAGTCCATCGCCAAACTTGAAGGTCTTTTTCTTTTCCTATACTAATTTGCTGAACTCAGTTTTTTCCACTGTCAGTTAATTGTAAGACATCATCAAGACAATTTGTAGATTTACGTTGACCTTTTACAGTTTCCCAACTAATATAATCAGCTGAACTTTTTACACACTGAATTATTACAAGTCCCTGTTTCACTGCATCATTCACTCTCTTCCTGCTTTGAACCTTATAACGAATACCATATGAGATAGGAGTGAATTAAGATATTGTTCAACTGCCCGTCCAAATGGCAGATGAATAACACCATTATTATCAATATGAATAGAG